CCCGCGTCTCCTGCATCGGCAGGCGGACTCTCAAGCACTGCGCCACCAGGGAAGCCCTTAATCTGCTTTCTTAATTCCAACCTTTTACAAAATCTGTGAGATGAGGAAGGCGGGAGTCAAAGGACAGATGTTACTGGGTAGATGAAGATGCAAACTCAAAGGTCCAGACTCTTCCAAGGCCCCGAGCCAAGGCCACAGCTTGCTTGCTTCTGGTCTTTTACTCCCAATGCTTTTTTTTTAAGCGGGGAGAGTGAATTTGTGAGCTTATGCTCAGTTCATTTCAGGATTATACAAGTAGTATAGTAGTACTAAAAATTTTTACTGATTTTAATTGTATCTCATAGTAATGATGTCACTTGTGAGAGGCATTGTAAAAATAGGGGCTTATTAGTATTATAAACTCTGGAGTCAGGCTGTCTGGGACAAAATTCTAGCTCAGCCACTTACTGGCTATTATTTGTCCTTTTCTCATTCTGCTTCCTCATCTATACAATCTACCCCCTGAGTTAGGACATGTAAGTGAGCATAACAGTACACTTTTTTGGTTTTAAACTATTAACCAAAATGGAGCAAGTATTAGTATGCCACTCCTCTTTTACAAATGGAAATTGAGACTCAGGACTGCTGACTTGCAAGCCCCTACTGAAATCTTTTGTCTTCTCAAGTCCTTTCCGCTGCTCTTTCCATCAGACTCAACTGTTTCTGAGATAAAATTGTGAATAAACCAAAATGAATTTTAACCTATTTTGTTTTACTGGTTTAGTTCAAGGTTGTTGGAAGTGACTTTTGGGGTATGTGAAGTGCTTTCTCCTCCACAGGGAATTAAGCTCTGAGGGTTACAGTTCTATACTTGGAGAACCTGACTTGCCAGCTGTGCCTGGCCAGCCCCACAACTAATGCCCTCCATTCTAGCCACACCCAAATCGTTAGCAATACCCATTCATTATTGTGCTCTTGCAGTTCTTTGGGACTTTGTACTCATTTTTCCAAGACCAAAAGTTCCCCTTCCTGTGCCTACTCTTGCTTCTTTGGACAGACTCCCCATTATCGAGACCTCCTTGATGTAGGGACCATATCTTTCACACTCATGCGATAAGACACACAGCTCTCAAGACAAAAGCCAGCATCATGTTGGCATTTCCAAGTCTGGGAAGGCCATCTTCTTCAACCTCTATAACTTAACATTATTCTGGAGGTTTTAGCCAGTAAATTAGGCAAGAAAAAGATACAAAATTTTATTTACAGCCAGAGTTGTATACTTGGAAAGTGCAAGAGGCTGAGTTTTCAAATATCACAAACAATTAGATAATTCAGCTTTGGTGGTTAGGTGTAAAAAAGATAGAAATCGAAAGCTCAATAGAAAGGTATGAAAGACTTCTTTCTGGCTGGAAACTGTCTTTATCACATTGAAATAAGAAAGGTGTTGGTTCTCGTTCATTTAGAAAAGTAATATGGAGACTAGCCAAGAAGATTGTGACATATGTGGAAGAAAAACAGGAGGGGGATTATTTAATTATATAACTTTGCCAGATAAGAAAATACATTATAAAACTAGAAATTAAACTAGCTTGGTATTGGTATTGGCATTCGATTCCAAACAGAATAGTCTAAAAGTAGACTTTCCTATAAAAGGGAATCTATATATGATGAAAGTAGTTTTTCAAATCAATGGAGAGAAGATGGGTCACTCTGTAAATAGTATTGGGAAAACTAGTGACCGTCTAGAAAAATAAGTTGACTCTGTTTCTCACTTCTTACATAAACCGCAGTACAACTGGGAGCACTGTTGTATTCTTGGAGGGGAGAAGTGCTTGTAAACGTGATACATGATGGGTACATTCGCCTATATGAAAATTAAACTTTTACATTTCATTTTATATGGCAAAAATACCACAAAAGCATAAGACGAATGACAGACCAGAAAATAATTGCAGCAATGGGAAAGGGCAATTTCCATAATGTGTAAAGAAATGCAAATTGAGTAGAAAAATGAAGAAAGAAAATGCTAAAGTTTTAGAAACGTGATTGGTGACTGTGAAATACACTAAATGGTGAAGCTGTGGAGAGAAGACAGACATTAATCTCCATTTTAGGAGGAAGTATAAATTGGTTCAATGTTTTTGTGGGCATTTGGCAATATCTGCTGAAATTAAATGCAAATGTTTGATCTAGCAGGTTGACTCACAGGAATTTATCCTATATGTACATGTATAAAGAGGATATTCAAGAATATTCGTTGTAGCATTGTAATAGTTTCAGTGACGTTTGGACATCCACACAGAAGGAATATTATGAAGCCTATAAAAATATTTTTTCAAGGGAGTGAAACAAGGTATAGAACAGTGCAAGGTAAGTTAGGATGAAAAGGGAGCGATAATAGTAATAGAAATGATTGTTTCTCGAAAGAAGTACAATAAATGGATCCGTTCTTGCTGGAAAAGGAGCTGGGAGACTGAGGGTCAGGAGGGGGGCTTACTTCTCACTGTAGACCTTTCTGTAGTTTTTTGGGGGGAAGGTAATATTTTTAAGTTATGTATCCATATTGCCTAAATAGCACATTGATTTGAATGGAAAGTTCCTATTTTACTTCTACCTTTTGAATATGACATTATTTTGACAAGGTTTGTCATCCCAGTGTATTCTTTTCCTAAATAGAGATAATTACTATACTGTTGGAAATTATCTTTATAAATCCTTTTTCTTTTTCTCTTTTTTTTTTTCCACTGTAGTTGATTTACAATGTTTCAGGTGCACAGCAAAGTGATTCAGTTATACCGTAATTTGTTTTTGATAGGCATAACTATAAGCCTGATCCCAGTCATGATTAACCATATATGTCTTTAGTATTGATTTTTTTCAACTTGTTTAGAAATATTTATTGTTTATTTTATGATGCCATCTCATTCCATTGACTTGCACATTGAAGTCATTGTAGCTAATATGAACTTTTCTTCAGTTTTCTTGAATTATATTGGTGATGTCCATTTGGTAGCTCTCATCACTGAGGAGAATGTTTTTCAAGGGTTAATTTTGTTTAGTTAAAAGAAAAAAAAACAAAACACCCAGCTTAGAGAAACTAACAGCCGTGTTTATTTTGATCTGGACAGATTTGGAGGCCGGTTACTGCCACCTTTTATTTCCCTGTGGGTCCGGGAACTGGATTTCTTTATTTGGTCAATTTATATTTCTTATATCAGTACTCTACACGACTCGAAACAGGTATGTTATCTGTGGTTGTTTTAAATATTGTTTCTGTCTAATTTACTAAACCATGTATTTACTTATTGGAGGAATTTTGAGGGCAGATGGCATATATAAAGAAATTACATAATGGTGTAAATGCGTAGTAAGTAGTGACTGTGCCAGGAGTCTACTAGGCGCTTAGATTATTCGTTTTGCAATCCTCACAGCATCATGATGAGATGTAAGCAGCAGTGTCACCATTTTATAGGTGAAAAAAGTACAAGAGCAGAGGTTTACACATCTTGTCCATCTCCTGTGTGTGCCTCTCACTTCATGTGACGTCTCCCTCATTTGTCACACAGCAGTCCCTGTTTTTTAAAGCACAATTGGGCTGAAGTGTATATCTCCTAAATTGGGGTTGAAAAACACTACTTTATGCAAGTAAAAGCCTAGACTTAGTCTCTGTAATTGAAACATGTAACTTTAAAAAAATTTTTTAAATAAATAAATTTATTTATTTATTTAGTTTTGTTTGCGTTGGGTCTTCGTTGCTGCGCGTGGGCTTTCTCTAGTCGCGGTGAGAGGGGGCTACTCTTTGTTGAGGTGTGCGGGCTTCTCATTGTGGCGGCTTCTCTTGTTGCGGAGCACGGGCTCTAGGTGCATGGACCTCAGTAGTTGTGGCACACAGGATCAGTAGTTGTGTCTCCTGGGCTCTAGAGCACAGGCTCAGTGGTTGTGGTGCACAGGCTTAGTTGCTCTGTGGCATGTGGGATCTTCCTGGACGAGGGATCGAACCTGTGTCCCTTGCATTAGCAGGCGGATTCTTAACCACTGTGCCACCAGGGGAGTCCCTCTTTTTTTTTTTTTTAATTATTATTCACTGTGTTAGAGCATTTATACTCAATATGAAGCACTCAACTTTTAAAAAATACATAGCCAGGATTTTAGTAGCATGGTAGTTTTTCAGATATGACTACCTATATGGATAAGCTATAAAATTCTTTTCTTAAAACTTTCTTACTGAATTGTTATTTATTTTCTACAGTACCTTATATGCTTTTCTGAGTTACTTATACTGAGAAGCAATAACTCGATAGACTGCTGTGTCAAAATATAATTTGGCAAAGCCTAAATGATTTTGAAAATGTTGTCTGACTTCAGAGACTAGAAACCTGATGGCTGTTAGCTCAGGATAGAAAACTCTGAGCTACCCTTAAATCTAAGTCAGTGCTCATATGCTTGAGAATTGTGAATCAGTCTCACAACTGCAGGGATACAGAAGGTTGGACATTTGGTGTCAAATATCATTTTTCCTTAAATTGGCATTTGCTGTTAGTTGCTTTTTAAGAAGAGGGAAATCACCGTGTTAATACAAAGTTTTGGGTAATAGACTATTACTTCTGGAAGGGACCTAGCCCATTCCCTTAGTTTTATAAAGGAAGAACAGGAGATTCAAGCAAGTAAAGTGACTTGGCTGAGGTGAAACTGACAACCAGGACTCTGACCACCATATCAGGGATTGGATCCTTAAATCTACCAGAATATATGATATTCATTCTCCCTTGCCAATCTTGCTTAGCATTCTACCCCTCTGATATGATTTAATTGAGGGTTAAGCTGTGGGAGGAATTTTTTTTTTATATCAGTAGTAAACTCTAGATTAAATGTGGATGATCCGTGAGCACTCGTTAAAAATTATATTATGGGGCATTTTCAAACATATACAAAAGTAGAGAGAAAGGTTAATGAACCTCTTTATTTTTTTTCCTTTTCATTTTAGAGAAAACTCACCTAACATAAAGTTCCTCATTTTAACCATTTTAAAGTGTACAACCCAGTGGTCTTTAGTATCTTCACAAAGTTGTGCAGCCATCACCACTGATTCCAGACATTTTCATCACCCCCCAAAAAACCCAAGCCAGCAGTCTCCATTCTCCCTCCCCCTCCTCCCAGCCTCTGGCAACCACTCATCTACTTTGTGTATGGATTTGCCCATTTGGGACATCTTATGTGTCCTTCTGTGACTGGCTTCTTTCACTTAGCATAATATTTTTGAGGTTCATCATGTTGTAGCATGTGTCAGTATGAGCCCCTTTTAATCATCACTCATCTTTAACAGTTATCCCATAGCCAGTCTCCCCCCCACCCCCCCATGCGGGCCTGTCACTGTTGTGGCCTCTCCCGTTGCGGAGCACAGGCTCCGGACGTGCAGGCTCAGCGGCCACGGTTCACGGGCCCAGCCGCTCCGCGGCATGTGGGGTCTTCCCGGACCAGGCACGAACCCACGTCCCCTGCATCGGCAGGCGGACTCTCAACCACTGCGCCACCAGGGAAGCCCAGGATTATTTTTTTTAAATGGACTATATATATCATGTAATTGTGATGGGGTGTGGAGCGGGGGAAGTAACCGCTTGAGATAGAGGGAACTTACAGTCATTTGTCCTTTTCTCCGCCCCTCTCCTAGTCTTGCTGCTGGAGGCATGAGGATCATCCTTAGAAGGGAGAGCTGGGCCAATGTTGATTGTTCTGCCCAGTAATAAGACAAAGCCCAGTATGTGGCGTTGCAGAAAGAACACTAAACTAGTAATTAGACTTCACTCTGCGTCTAAAAGCCATGTGACTTTGGTCATGTAACTGTACATCCTCATCTGCAAAAAGAGGGTGTAGGTCTTTCCATTGTCCCTCACAGACATGGTAGGAAGAGTCAGGGCCATGGAAAGGTGTGGCTGCCCCCTACTCCCCCACCATTGTTTTCCTTTGCTAGAATGTGAGGTCCTGGAAGACGGAGACTGAATCCTCTTGGTAAGCCCAGTGCCGGACTGTGTGGTAGTGCGCGTGCGTGTGTGTGTGCACGTGCGTGTGTGTGTGCGCGTGTCTCCAGTCATAACAACAGTAAGTGCTTCCCAGCCTAGTTGTGTGGAGGAGCCACAGTGGTAGGCAGAACGGACATGGTTCCTCCCCTGACGGAGCTTATGGTCTAGTGGAGGGAGAAGGGATTAACCAGGTAATCACGAATAGGTCTCCATCTCATGATGAGAGCCATGAAGGAAAGGCCAGCAGGCTGTGAGGGGCTTCAGCAGATGGGGTCTCAGTAGCTGTGGACCTGACTGTCCTCCCTTTGGGTTTCTTTTGGTTCGTGCTAGTTGAACAGAACATTTTACAGACTGGAATTCAGTTAGGGGAACACAGATTATTAGCCTTGATACCCAGGCAACTTTACTTTAGGGCTTAATTATGGACACGGTTTTATATATTAAAAAAATTTTCTTTTACTTTCGAAGAGTGGTTTTAAAATATTCTCATTTTATGTTTTCTCTACAATTTTTTGAAGTATTTCTCAACGTAGAAGTTTCTTTGTTCCGAAATTCTGAACCATGACATTTGGCTTATTTTTGTTTCCAGGAGCTTTTGATGGGAGGCCAGCAGACTATTTATTCATGCTCCTCTTTAACTGGATTTGCATCGTGGTATCCTTCCGTCTGGAAATAACCAGTTTTTTTTTCAGGTTTGGGGAAATGGGCAGTAATCTGCATAACATTTTAAATGATAGTATTTGCATCTTTGTTTACTATAGTTAATAGTTAAGAATCATGAAAGTTCTTGTCAAAAGCGGTAGTAAATCACATAGCCGTGGAGTGATGCATTCCCCTACCATTGCCTTTGTGGGGTTTTTCCACATTTGGTTGAGTTTTATTACTGTTCCCTCTTCTTGTTCCCAGTTCTCTGTGTTCTGGTGTGTGGCAGCTTGTTGACTGCAGCTCAGAGAGATTCCATGCCGTGAGATAGCTTTTGAAAGCTGTGGTCCTTATCAGAAAATTAATTTACAAGCAGCATCCTTTCTGACTTTAGTGCTGTCTTTGTCTCGAGGTCCTAAATGGTAATTCAGTCCCTCTAAGTGCCTGGCTCTGGGAAAGGACACAGCATGCCTCTCTGTTTGCTCTGTGTCAACCACAGCTGTCAGCAGCCTTCCGGCTGCAGACCTTTACAGATAGTGAGAGCAGCAGAAGGGGCTTGGTGGCTCAAGTCCTGTGCACAGTTGGTGAGCTCAGAATGGCTTTGGGGTTTACTGTCCATTGAAACTTGGCCAAGAGCCAGAAAATTGTGGCACTCTGGATGCCCTTTCCCTCCTTTAAGGGAAGATAAAAAGATTGTTTTGGACTTCACCTGTGCTGTGGAGCCCTGAATGTGAGCAGACGCATTATTTGTTTCAGAGGCATGTTTCACATGCCCCTCCATCTCCTAATTGAAGGAGAGATGCTAAAATACAGCGGCAGGGCATGGAGGACACAGGCAACCAAACTGAGTCATGTGCCAAAGCAGTTAATTTCTACTATTTCCTCGTCATTGGATAGTTTAATAGCGTGTTCACGGTGAAGATTATTAGATACCTTTGTGTTCCGGGGTGTTTTAAGCAACCTGAACTATAGAAAAGTGTTTTCCTTCAGAAAACTGGAATGAAATGAACTTTTATTAGGTGTAGAATGCTTTATTTGTGTCTGATCTTTAACTTTACCAACCAAGATTACTGGCTTAGCAATGGATATGCAGGTAAGTGTCCCTTGAAACTATTTGGCCTTTCATGTGTTTCAGATTTACTGTTAATGACCTTTGACAGAAGTTTAAATTGCATTAACTGCGTGGTTAATTATATGGTATTTTGAAGCTCTTATGTGAGTTACCTAAATCATTACTGTCCTTGCTCATTTCTGGCTTCTGTATTATGTGTGAACGTTGAGAACGATGGTTTATCCAGTGTTTTCTGTGCATGTGTGTGGATATGTATTTTTAAAAAACTGAGAATACATGGTAAGTAAAGCGTTACTGCATCATATACTTTCTCCAAGTAACAGAGCTTGACCCTGATACTTCTGAATCCATCCCAAATACTATAATTGTGTTGTATTTTATTAGAGGATTTTAAAGCATACATTGCATGATTAAGTAATTCTGATGAGTTGAATTTCTTTCTGCTTTTTGAATAACCATGGGAGAATTTATTTGGAGGGGAGAGGTTAAAAAGCAGAAAAAGGTAGGTTTATGCTAAGCCTCTGTTTTAAGTGCCTCTGGAGCCTTTACATGTTCGTTTCTTTTGCAGTTGCTGATGATTCCTCTGATCATGTCAGTACTTTATGTCTGGGCCCAGTTGAACAGAGACATGATTGTATCATTTTGGTTTGGAACACGATTTAAGGTACTCTAACCTAGCTGGGAAAATTTCCTTTTCATTTGTCTTTGCAGAAATCCCTCTCTTCAGCACAGAGATGTACTTTCTGACACATGCAGAAGAGGTCACTGCAGAGCAGTAAACCGTAGGCAAGCCCCTTCTCCCCTCCTCAGCCCCCCTGGATTTCTTTAGCCAACCCTGAGGCCTTTGCTGACTGTTATTCTCACTCCCTCTGGAGCTCAGGCCCTTTAGGCATGTGTCCTGAGTGATCTCATGTATGTGTGTGTGGTAGGGGGAGGGGAGGAAGGACACTCATGTGGAACCCTCTCTTTTAGTCTGTTCTTATCATTGCCTGTTATGTATTTTACACTTAAGCTGAAACAGATTGGTTTCCCCCCCCAAACGCTTCCCTTTGTGCCTTCTCACAACTTTCCACCTGTTTTATTTTCTTTCTCATGTAAATCCTGCCCATTCTTAATTTGAGTGGGGGCCGAAACACATTTCCTGCCTCTCCTCCCAGGAATTGGTCTTGCCTTTGGGCTTCTGCAATACTTTGTGTTCTTGTAGTACTCACCACATTCTGCCTTCAAGTTATTGATGTGTAACCCTTTCTTTACCAGTTGGCGATGTTTTTTGCAACGCCCTTAGCTCTTAGTATGATGTCTTGAAACTGGTAAGGGTGTTGACCTCAAGTAAATAGGCTGCCAGATACTTCGGCAGCAAAGATGGGTTTACTTGGGATCAGTAGAGAACTGCATTTCGGGGTCTGCAACCATGGTGAGCCACGAGCAAGTCCCTACATGCAAAGGGAAGGAGAGCGCTTTTATATAAAGAGGAAAAGGAAGTCAAGAGGTGTGGTAAACAAAGCTTTTCATTGGCTGAGTCCTTGCAGGGAAAGAAGTCTGTCTTCTTCCTCTTGGTTGAAACAGGGCGTGAGAGCTCCCCCTTCTGGTCTCCCAACCCTACTTAATGGAGGGTTCTGTTGGCTAATTTTTTTTTTTGCAGGGGCTCAGATGTTGAATTCATCTGGAGAGCTGTCTTACTTGGGAGAGTGTTAGTTCAAGAGATCAATGTGTAATGTGATAAAGATTCAAAGTAATTCTGTGAAATATGTAAAAGGAGAACCTAAAAAGATGGGGTGTTTTATAGCTGATTGGTAACAATTTGCTGGCAGGAGTCTTAATGTGACTCTATTATGGACCATGTTTTTATTAGCATCCATAGGACACTCATCTGCTTTCTTTTTTTTTTTTTTTTTAGTATGTATTTATTTATTTGCTTGCACCAGGTCTTAGTTGCAGCAGGTGGGCTCCTTAGTTGTGGCATGTGGGCTTCTTAGTTGTGGCATGCATGTGGGATCTAGTTCCCTGACCAGAGATCAAACCTGGGCCCCCTGCATTGGGAGCACGGAGTCTTAACCACTGTGCCACCAGGGAAGTCCCAGACACTCATCTTCTTTCTAAAGCTATTTGTTATAATTCAGCAGGTTATGTATTGGATCTGAAAACTATGGGCAAAGTACTCTGTCTCCAATTGCTAATATATGAATAAGTATGAATGCTAGGGACCTCTCTGGTGGCGCAGTGGTTGGGAGTCTGCCTGCCAGTGCAGGGGCACGGGTTTGAGCCCTGGTCCGGGAAGATCCCACATGCTGCAGAGCAACTAAGCCCGAGCGCAACAACTACTGAGCCTGTGCTCTAGAGCCTGCGAGCCAGAACTACTGAGCCCGCATGCCACAACTACTGAAGCCCATATGCCTAGAGCCCATGCTCCGCAGCAAAAGAAGCCACGACAATGAGAAGCCCTCACACCGCTGCGAAGAGTGGCCTCCGCTCGCCGCAACTAGAAAAAGTACGAAGACCCAACGCAGCCATAAATAAATAATAAATAAATAAATAAATAAATAAATAAAAGAAGGCTTGAAACAGTGGGAATGATGCTAGATTGATAAAAGGAACTTTTGCAGCGACTTTCCAAAGGATTTATTTATTTATTTTTAAACATCTTTATTGCAGTATAATTGCTTTACAATGGTGTGTTATAAAAGCCCTGCTCAATAGAACCTTCCCCATTTCAGCCCCCTAGCAGCTGTATCCTCTGTAGGTATATTCATGTTTGTGTATATTCTTTCCTAGGCCTGTTATTTACCTTGGGTTATCCTTGGATTCAACTATATCATCGGAGGCTCGTAAGTGATATTAGATTTATTTAATTGCAAACTAACCCTTGGAAGACTTCCATTATTCTTTATCTTCCTTCTCTAAACACTTCAAAGAATCTCAACGTTGATACCTTGGTACCTTATGCTTTTGAAATAGTTTCGTTTGGATGTAATTGATTAAAATTGCAGGGCTTTAAGCACATTTAGCACTGAATGTTTTTTTTATTATTGTTGTTGTTTGTTGTTATAGTATGCTTCCATATATGTGTTTTTGAATAGATATTTATTTCTGGATTCACTGTCCAGATTGAGCAAATATAGACCTAATTTTATCCAAGCCGACTCTGTGTGTAAAATTCCTGTTTTTTTAATTCTTAAGGCATTTCCAGAATGCCTTGGAAACTGCCCACCAGTCACAGAAATGTACAGATTCTCAGATGGGAAGTTTTGTCAGTGGTTCAAAAGTATAGAAGTTTGGGCCAAACAGGGTCAAATTTCTAGTCTGGAATTAGACCTGAGACTTAGGAAAATCTTGAATGCATCCAGTCAGAATTTTGGAAGGAGGATTTCAAGATGCAGTTATTCTAAGAACTCCTGTTTCTTACACCGCGAAATGTTTTTAACGTTTTTAAACAGATTTTGATAGTGCTGGTTCTTAATGCGATGACGTCTTTGCTCTATATGGTCCTAACTTCTGCTGCATATCCACAGGGAGCAGGGAATGAATCGAGTACACAGATTCTGTTTAGAGTAGAGCAAGTCTGGGGCTTGGTAAAACTGCCCTGCCGCCCAGAAGGGCAGAATCTGGGAGCACTTGTAGATGGTGATTTGTCCTTAAGAGGAATCATGTTGCAGGTGGAGGCAGAGAAGGATATGTAACAGTAAGAATCTATCGGTAAAACCTTGAAGTGGCCTCTGTGTCAGCCATGGGAAAAGTGAGGAAGGGCAGTGTTTGTGTCAGGATTACAGGCTGAGGGTCAGCTTTCCAGAGTGATCTCTGTGATGTCTTACAGTCAGGGACCCAAGAGGTGAGGGAGACGTGATCCATGGTTCCAGGAACGGGGCAGTGGACGTTTTTCATCCCTCCTTTCCTCACTCCCATGTTTCTCTCTTGCCAGCCTTCAGTTTTACCCACGTTTTGCAAATATGGTATTCGTGACTGAAAGCGTTCAGAAGCTTGCTTTGCAGCTTGCCTCAACTCCTGAGGCAGGAAGTAGCAAAAACAATATGTTGAGGACGGGCAGGGGCTTGAAAGAGATGTCAGAGGGGCAGCTGGCCTTGAAGAGCACAGGCCCCATTGGTCCAGCAGGACGGATTTTGCTTCTCATTCAGAATGCGTGTGCCTCTCAGACTTTATAAAAGGGCTCACTGTCGAGCTGTCACAGACTCCCAGCGAGCAGAAATAGGCTGCCACGAGGGATCTCTTCCCTCTGCTATTAGTTAAAACTTGCTGTGTCTCACTTTACTGCTTGAATGTCTTTAAACTCATTTGGCTTTCTGTTTGCAGGGTCATCAATGAGCTAATTGGAAATCTTGTTGGACATCTTTATTTCTTCCTCATGTTCAGATACCCAATGGACTTGGGAGGAAGGAATTTTCTATCCACGCCTCAGTTTTTGTAAGTGTTTCTTCCCCCTCTCGTTTGATAATCATCTTATTGTCTGTGTTTGTCAGCATCCTGATAAAAACTCCGTGAGGGGTAAGGTTTCCCTCTCAGTCTGATGGAGAGATGTGAGCCAACGAGGGACTTTCCCAGGTCACTTCAAGCCGAGGCTTGGTCTTCTCCTGGAGCCCTCGTAGCCAGGGGCCGCTGAGCCTAGATTCAGGCATCCCGGGGAGCCGTGGGCGCTGCAGAGTGGGCGGCATGCCTGTGTGGATCCAGTGTGTGCAGCAGGGGGCCAGGGTGACAGGGTTATCAGTTGTACCCAAGATTTTGGCTGAGGAAGGGGTAAGAGGGTAAGTAGTCTCATTGGTTAGCAGTTTAAAACATTTTTATATTCAATATTATAGACCAGAATGTTTAAAGGACTTTTCAACGTTAAAATGAGAGACCGGAGGCTTGTATAGTCCCGCCCCCTGGGAGGATGTGCGTGTTCTTTCTCTGTTTGCAGGGTTTACTAAAGTGAGGAGGCCAAGGGCACAGCTTTGGTTTCGAGACAGACTTGGGTTGGAATCCCATGCCCGTCGTCTACCAGTTCATATATTGGGAAAGTGACTTAGTAAATCCCCCGAGCTTTAGTTTGCGAGTCTGTGTGCTGGGGGGGGAGGCCCTGTCTCACGGGTCTGCAGGAAGTGGGGTTTACCGTTAGCAGCACAGTAGTGGATGCTCAGTAAATACAAGCTCTCAGCCTTGCTCCTGAAGTTGGGGCGGGGGGCGGGATTCTGATGAGCCCCAGAGATGCTGACACACTTAAGCGTTCAAGTAGTGTGACCATTCTGTCAGTAAAGCAAAAGGCTGTCGAAGACGGGACAAGTGAAATCACCATCTGGGTGTCACAGCCGGCCTGACAGTCACGCTTAATCTCCAGTCGGGCATATGCAATAATAGCCTGCACTTAGAAGCTTTCAAAAAAAAAAAAAAAAAAGCAAAAAACCCTTTTCACATCTTGCTCGTTTTAATGTTTTCCAGTTTGTCTTTCTTCCAGGGGGGTCAGTGAGGGCAGTAAACTTGAGTAGGCACCCCTTCCCCCCACTTTTATAGGTTAGAGGAAGGTTTTTTATGGTGAAATACAGTATACGTACAGAGAAGTACACTATTGTTTTATTATTTTTTTTTTTGCGGTATGCGGGCCTCAGCGGCCATGGCTCGTGGGCCCAGCCGCTCCGCGGCATGTGGGACCTTCCCAGACCAAGGCACAAACCCGTGTCCCCTGCATCGGCAGGCGGACTCTCAACCGCTGCGCCACCAGGGAAGCCCTGTTTTGTTTTGTTCTGTTTTTTTCGTTAAGAGCATAAGAAGAAACGTGTTTGTCTTGTGAGCCTTGAGTTGCCTTCAGGCTGGAAAAAAAACCAAATGACCAGTCTGCTTTCTAATTATCAAAGGACACGGTAACAGCAGGTTTGGATTTTTGATCTAGGTTTATCAAGTCGGATGGCAGATGCATCATTAAAAAAAAAACTTGTTGCTTTGGGGGGCAGCCAAGAACTATTTTACTTTAAACGGCCACATTCTGACTTAATGGCTTGGAGAGATTTCTCATTTGTGGGCAACAACGTGTATGGGATTCTAGTGGCAAAATCGACAGCCCACTGGAGCCTGCCTTCCACTTGAGCTTTCCCTGTTGGTGGAAGCCCTTCTGTTAAATTTTGCATAAAGATCAGATGACAAAATGTAGCTCCTTGCAAAAGCAGTAACTGCTTTGAAATTACCATAAATCTTTGTTGATTATGTATAATTGGGTATCTTTTTATACTAATTACTTGCATTTAATTTCACTATCTGTTTAAGCAGTGGCGATGGCTTCCATATTGTCTCAGAGTAAGAAGCAAAGCAAGACAGCCTTGGTGTTGCCTTTTTTAAGTCTTCCAGTTTATTACATACTTTGGAGGAATGTTATTGTGCCAGAACGTCATGAATGTTGGGAAACCAGCGCTTGGAAAATACATGCTGATGTAATGATAAAACTGTATTTGTTTAAAAGGGAGGATGCGAGTTATAGAATTCTAAGTCGTATCACTATTTTGCATTCTACTTAGAAAAGTAGACAGATCTTCTTCTGTGCACAGTTATTTTTCTGTTTACAAGGGGTTTAATTGTCTTCTTGGGGAGGGAGCGTGCAGCTAACTGGGTTGATGTAAACACATGAGGACTCCGGTCACTAACTGTTGTCACCTGAATCTCATGCTGTGTGTCCTGTGGAAGTGTGAGGTATAGGAAGTGGTGTGGGGCACGAGCTCCAGAGTCAGGCTGCCTTGGGTTTGAATCCTGCCTGTCACTTTAGAAGAGCTTTGCTCAATTCTGCCTCAGTTTTCCCATCTATAAAATGGGGTAATAGTAGTGCCAACCTCATAGGGCAGTCGTGAAGTTCAGAGGCATTTATAAACATGCAGCACCCAGTGTAAGGGAGATGCTTTATGATAAGGTTGAACTCTGCAGGCTTCCTGCTGTGGACAAGTCACCCCTCGTGGCTTGCTCTTGGTGCCATGAGGAGTTTAAAAAGAGGTATCAGATCATGGTCTCTGCCTTCAAGACAAAAATTGAACCATCAGGATCTGATTAGTGGAATAGGTTAAAATACATTCTCGGTTTACTAATAGTCAAGGAAGGGGAGTAGTTAGAAAAACTATTGTGGACATAGAGTCCTGGGTTTACATTTTCTTAGCTGTTCTGGGACTTAATTTATTAATTTGTAAGGTGAGAAATCAGCTAACCTTTTTGGGCCTCAGCTTTCCCACCATCTATGAGAGAAAGATTGCAGTTGGAGGGCAAACTATGAATCAACTTTAAAACACACCCAAATTCCAAGACAGAAAGCTGTCTTCTCTGCTGTCCCTTGATGGACGCCGAAGAACCCAGCAGCATCGTGGTGATGCCGGGCAGTGCTCAAACACACCCGCTGCAGATTTGTCCTTTGGAACTGAATTTATTTTGTATCCTTTGAGCCATTTAGAGCCATAGTTACATAAACTAAAATGCTATATAGATGGTTCTTTCTGGTTGTTGGGCTCGTGGGTGTAATATTTTTGTTTCCATACTGTTCCTGCACGAATTGCTTTTATAATCAGGGAAAAAAAAAGTTAGAGTGTGAAGTTAGTGCGAAAGCTTAGTAAATTAAAAAGAAAACATAAAAAGTGAGTGACTTCTGTGGTCAGGGCATTGAGCTAAGTGCTGAAAAGGCAAAGTGCAATAAGACATTGTCCTCAGCCTCTCCGTGGCCACAGACGAACGTAATTCAATGTGACAGATGCCGTGGGAACCCCAGGAAGGGAGATGGGATGGACAACTGCGTGGAGAAGTGACTGTGCTTTTCTCTCCTTTTGTTTCTCCCCCACTCTGCTCCAGGTACCGCTGGCTGCCTAGCAGGAGAGGAGGGGTGTCAGGGTTTGGTGTGCCCCCCGCTAGCATGAGGCGAGCGGCTGACCAGAACGGCGGAGGCGGGAGACACAACTGGGGACAGGGCTTTAGGCTCGGGGACCAGTGACGGAGTGGCCTCTGGCCTGCCCACCAGCCCCCCACTCAGATGACGTTTCCTCCCAGTGCCAGGTGACCTTTACCACCGAGTTCTAGCTAACGCTGTTGGACATGACCCACACTGAATGTAGTCTTTCAGTACAAGACAAGTTTTTTAAATCCTGAAGAAAAAATATATGTTCCTTGAGTTTTGTGATTCTCATTCAAGTCCTTACTGCTAAGAAGAACAAATATCAACTGGGCAGATTTCGGAACTGACCTTAGTTTTTGGTGTCTTCCTTTTCCATCTGAATCATGGGTTTCGGCAGGTCCCGCTCTGCTGGCACCAAGCTGGGTATCCGGCGTTGGGTCACCAGACCCCTGTCCCGGGGGCTCTTAGCTCTTTCTCGCACCCACGCCTGCCTCCTCCTTCCCCAGCCTCACACTCCCAGCTAGAGGAGATTGCCCATGAAATGGTTCTGCCTCTGACAAGCTCGCTTTTATTTGTTGGCTTTTGCCAAGGCTTGGCCACAGAGGCCTTGTTCCCAGCGTTTTATGGTGGCAGAACCGTAACCGTAGGGCAGAAGGTGGACAGCGGATGAAGAGCTTCCTCAGCTTTTGGGATTGCCGTGGCCTGATATCAGTTGCCACCGTTTGCCACCTCTTCAGCTGTTCTGATAAAAAAAAAGCACCGCTGAGTCAGTGAGGACCACAGATCGGTATTAATGAGGCCTGAAGGTCCTTGCTAGGCATTTTATATCCTAAGTGATCAAAACTCTAGTGGAGTTGCATCTTACACAGGGGCTGTGTTTAACTGTGGGCATAATTCC